ATATGAACATCTCTTTTGCCACAATCTGGAAGTTCACTGCAGCTCCTTTTGGATCACATAGGTCTTGGCAATTGATAGGTTCACTCCTTTTGGCTCCTTCGGTCTTTCCCCACTCAGTGGCAGTATCTCTACAAACTTGCCTAAAGGTGCCCACACACCTTGCGATAATCGTACGATAATCGCAGGAAATCCCGCGATCGTACGATTATCATAAGGTGTGTGGAAGCCGTGCGCACGACTTTTACAGGCAGGAACCTCCACTCCCACAATACCATTAGTGCAGGTTATAGGAGAAATAAGCAAAGGGGATGTATATTGTGTAGTATGATTGTTTTCTTAAAACTTTAAAAACTGAAGTTACATCCAGGAACATACATGATGTATTTGTTACCAAACTGCTGATAATACCTGCTGGTATTGTGTGTGCACTGTATTGTGTGTAGAGATGAGCAAATCTGCCCAGGTTTGATTCATGGGGGATTTGTTGAATCCTGCCTGAAACGCTTGAAACGTAAACTTAGCAGCAAACCCTATTGAAATCTATGGCAAGGCAAATCTTGACACTAAATCCTGGCCATTTTCAAGGCTATTTTAAAAAGCTATTGTAAAAAAAAACCCATAGGGAGCTGAACTGCCATAGGGGACATTCAACAAAGCAAAAAATTTTTTTGGAAGAATAGCATACAGCAGGGAGAGGACCCTCCTTGTTAATGCAAGATAACATCTAAAAAATAAGATAAAACACAACCTTTCAATTACATGCTTGGAAAATGCCTTACAGAACAGTACATTTTCACAGACAGTCAGCAACCCTGTATTCTAACATTACATATTTTGGATGTAAATTGATTTTTTAAAGGCTAAGTTCACCTTTCTGACCATGTTTCATGTTACACTGACATTTAGGGTGTAACATGAAACATGGACAGAATGCAAACTTTTTCAATGTAGTACTTTCTGACAAGGACAGGCTGTTAAAAGGCTGCAGCATAGCAGTATTAACCCCTCTATAGACGAATTAACCCCTGTATAGTCAGTCATATTTTTTAACAATTCATTTCAGATGAAATTAACAAAAACTAAAAAAGTTTTCATTCGTTTCATCAAACCAAAACAAATGTTGTATGCCATTTTGGATTCAGCCACTGGCGTCTGCTGGAGGCAGGGCGCATGATGTCATATAACACCGCACGTGTTGGGCGCCGCCATCTTGGTGTATATCTAGGTATACACCAAGATGGCTACTCCTATATAGGTGTGTGACGTCACCTGACGCCACGCACGCATGAAGGGTGTGGGGCGCTCTAGAGCTTTCTCGCACAGGGTGCCTAAAGGCCTAAGGCCGGCCCTGGCTCCAGGAGTCCCCCGCTATTAGATAGCGGCTCGATCGAGCAGAGTAAACCTTTCCCTGCTCTGGTTTTTTTTTCTGACATCGGAGCCTGAGGAGCCGTCAGTCAGAAAAAAACAAAACGGCATAGGAATGCATAGCTAGATTCCTATTGGCTATTTCACTTTGCAATAGCCAATAGCCAACTAGCTATTGCACCTGTCCACTGCTGCTGTCAATCAGCAGAGGGGACCTGCTGCACTAGACACCCATATAGTAAATAAATGAACTGATATCTATTATTAGTATACAGGATTTATATAGCGTCAACAGTTTGCGCAGCGCTTTACAATATAAGGAAGACATTACAATCACAATAAAAATCAAGACAAGATGGTAAGGAGGGCCCTGCCCGTGAAGTTTCAGTGTACGTAATTTATGTATCCAATACATTTCTTTTTTAGATATCGCTCATTTGAGGTTCATCCCTCTCTAGAACTTTTAAATCTTTTCAATCCCTCCCGTTCTTTAAATTGGGATTGGAGTTGTAATATTTAGTAAAATAGACCAGAACACTGATTATTTTTTGTACCTCTATATTATAAATGCGTTCATCGACTTGGTCTGTCAGCCCTCCCCAGGCCTGTGATTAATACTGATCGGACCCTGGGCAAACATTTTCTTGGGCCCCCCCCCCCAGGAATTTCTCTCACCTCCCCAACACCCAGAAAAAAAAAACAACAGCACACATAGTTCATAGACTTCTCTCAAAAAAACTTTGACTGCAGGATTTCAAACCGATTGCAAGCTCAGCCGTTTATATTAGGGATGCACCGTTATATCGGCCGTAAATGCCACTTTTGGTGGATGGGAGGGGTGAGGTCTCTTCTCATTGGCTGGTGGGCAGAGCTCCAGAAGACTGAGTAGATGGACCGTACAGACGATCGAGGAAACGTATGAGCGCTCAGCCCTGTCACTGTCAAACTGAGAGTCTCAGTTTGACAGTGGCAGGGCTGAGAGCTCACAACGTTACCTGACTGCGAGCGAGGTGATGTGCTGTTCTGACAGGGCAAACAAGGCGCCCTTATTATTCATAGGGGCGTCGGGCCCCTATGAGTAATAGGATTGCTGATTCTACGGTACGACCGCGGCGGTACGGACACCTTGCCGATCCCTGTGCTACGCGGGGGGAGGAGCTACACCTTTAGGATGCGATTGTGCAGATCGCATAGGACAACAATACGTTATGGCAGTGCCGTATGCGGCTGCCATAACGTATTATACTATGCGATCCGATCGGCAAGTTTCTGCGGGCAGTGGGCTCAAGGGGCAGCTGCTTTGGGCCCCACAGCCATGAATGGGCCCAGGGCAAGCTCCCTCTTTGCCCCGCGTTAAAGACAGCCCTGGCCCTCCCCCCTTACAATTTGCCACATGGGCATTCGCATTCTAAAACATATATCACAACATTGGTTTCACAAGTTATACATTGATCTGTTTTAATCACTTGAGTCTCGGCTGCCATTTTCAAAATAGTGCTGGGATAGCCGTTATTTGTCCCAGCGTGGTTTTAAAATCACGGAAGGAATCAGTAGCTCCCATTGGTCCCCACAGGGGCTAAGGCTGGAACCAATGCTTGTATCTGACAGCTGGCATCCAGTTCTAAGCATTGGAGATGATCAGCTTCTGGGCTACCAAGGTGTTTGCAGTTCACTCTGTAGGAGTGCGCTGTAAAAGTAAAGGTAAACAGAATACTTTGGCGTTCTGTTTACATTGGGTGTGTAGTGATGTCTTCACACCCTCATTTACTATGGAGGGTCAGACAGAGCCTTAATAGCTCTGCCCTGCCTTGCCAAGCAGTAGCACATCACTGATATAGTGACCTAGTGCTAGCTGATTTTGTTCCTACTGCTAAGTGCATTTTGAAAAATCGGGGTTTTAAGTCCAAGTCTACCTCTTGGCAAAAACCTTAAGGCCCCATTCACACTGAGCGACATGAAAATCGTGCGATTTTGAGCGATATTGCGCGACGTGTCACGCAACTTTTTCCTTTTGGGCTGTATGCAATCAGGAGCAATATCGCTCGAAAAAAGGGTCATGTAGGAGCGACAAGCTACAGGCTATATTGAGCGACAAGATGTGAACAGCTCCATTGAAATGGATTGGAGAAGCTACATAGAGCGATACCGCGTGGAAATATGAGCGATATCGCTGCAAAAATCGCTCAGTGTGAATGGGGCCTAAGGGGGTCTACTTTTCTAAATAGGTAATGCTCAGCAGAGGAAAGCCATGATGCTACACCCCATAGCTATAAAGTGCAAACACAACAAAACAGGCATATAGCCTGGTGAGGGCTTTTAAGGCATGCAAACAAGGCCTTCAATTAAAACAAAATAAACTTTATTAATAACAAATCATGAGGGAGAAGTAGGAGTCTATGACATGTCAGCATAGCACGTGCTTCCGCTGTTATGATCCTTGCGTGGTGATTGCCCCTCCTGCGGCCCCCTGAGGGGAGCCGGCGTCCGGACGTGCCTCCATAGTTCCATTACATGTCCCTGTCACTACAGGTTCACACTTGTTGTAACATCCTCCTGAAGAAGCCATGTATGGTGAAACGTGTTGAGAAAACATCAGTGTCAATTATCACTTTGTTGCTATCTTATCACGACATTTGTGAGACACAAACTTCATTAAGTCATTGCTTAATCAGTACTCAAATATTGGAGCTTATATATGCCATATGCAGTACACAATTGACTTTGTGATGTTTTTAGCTATCATGTTTTAATTGTTATTAATAAAAAAAAAAATGTTTTTTAATTGAATGCCTTGTTTGCATACCTTGAAATCCCCCATCAGGCTATATGCCTGTTTTGTTGTCTTTGGTTTACTTTTCTAAATAGAGTAATTTTGGAATAGTTTGTGAGGTTCTGCCATTTCTGAGCCATTGTATTGCAGTACGGTGCCATAAAACTGACACAGCAGTTTCTCAGTCATGGACATCCACAATGTTCTCTCATATTTGGGCCCTGCCATGTTCTCACAAAGTGACTAAGACATACAGTACTTATGTGATATTCTCATGTATAGGAGTATAACATACCTCATAGCATCACTGCCTACTTCTATACATAAGAAAACATGCATGCTTTAATTTCAAGTTAACTCTACTAAAAACCATTATTTGAAAATGTTCACAGCATCTATAGCTGGGTACACACTGTTAGGGAAGGAGCGAAGTCCCCCTGTTTGCTGGATTGGAACCCAATAGCAGGGAACAATACCAGAAGGAGAGTCCAGGCTGAGGTACAAGATAGGATGATCCAAAATGCGTTGTCAGAGTACAGTACGGGTCGAGGCAGGCAGCGAGTATCATAAACAGTGAGGCAAGCCAGGGGTCGATAACCAGTATATCCAAATAGCAGGGAAGGAAGGCAGGAAACAGGAAATGAGGCGTCAGAGCTGCTTGGGAATGGCAGAATAACTCAGCAACAAGTCTTGGCTCTGGCTGGAATTTAAACCCAGCAGGGGCCAGTGACACCCCCGTTGTCTGGGCAACAAGGAAGCCACAGGTCCCTGGGAACCAATGGGGCTGCTAGGAGACGAGTGCTCACAAGGCCCTCCCTGGCAATGACCAGCACCCGAAGTGACTAAGAAGCCACAGCAGCGCCACATGCGCACATCATGCATGCGCGCACCCGCAACTAGCCGAAGGGCACCAAATCACCCCAAGAAGGACCTTACAATCTCCGCCATACCCGTTGGACCCCAGGTAAGAGTGCACCCCTGGTCCCACGACACACACTAAACAAATTTCAGCCGTTGGTGGCCCTATTCCCTCGACCGAAGTCACTCATTAGATAAACTTTTGCTGAAGGGACATGTTGGAAATTCCTCAGCCAAACAATGCTAATTAATCACTTCAGGACCGCCATAAGTATATATATGTCATTGTCCTGTAGTGGTTATGCTAATATCACAGCTGCTGCTGTGACCTTGGTATTGTTTTTACTAGGAATGCACGAATACTGTTTTTTCGGTATCGAATACCGATATATTTTTTTCGGTACTCGCCGATACGGAATACTGATACCAGAAGTCCCATTAAGGAAGCCAGGTGGTGTGTAATGACTTGCCACCTGACTTCCTGATTAGCCGGGAAGCCGAATGGCGTGTAAAGACTCGCCACCTGGCTTCCCGATCAGCAGGGAAGCTGTCTCCATGCTCCCTCCTCACCAGATGACGAGGAATCATGGAGCCGGCTTTCTGGACAATCAGGAAGCCGAGCGCCGTGTAATGACGTGTTGCTCGGCTTCCTCATTGGTGGAGAAGCTGGCCAATCAGGAAGCTGGATATGCGTCATTACACAGCATCTGGCTTCCTGATTGGCCAGGAGGCCAGTTCCATGCTCCCTCATCACCAGGTGACGATGGAGAATGAAGCCGGCTTTATGGCCAATCAGAAAGCCGGGGGCGTGTAATGACATGCTGCCCAGCTTCCTGATTAGCCTGCTCCATGCTCCCTCGTCACAAGTTTATTGACTCGCTGCCCGGCTTCCTATTACCGAAAGCTATTACCGGAAGCTCAAGTATCGGGCTAGGCATCGGAGCATTTGGGCAAGTACGTGCACTCGGCATCGGCACCGATACTAGTATCAGTATCGGTGCATCCCTAGTTTTTACAGCCGGTGGAGGACTTCAAAGTTCAAGTGATCTGGGTGGCTGTAGCATGGTCACTTGTCTAATCATGTCTCCATAAAGAGAACCTGTCACCTCCTAATTTTATCACATGGTGATACCAATAAAGTTCAACCACAAAAATGTCTGTGTTTTTGTACTGTGGAAAGCCCTTCTATGTGCATCTCACTTTAAAAGCTAGCTTTAAATTGATTTGTGCGATTGCCATATTTGTGATGTATTTGCCAAATAATGTGAAGTAATAAAATAAATAAACAAAAACCTTGCCTCTTCAGAATGCAAATGCACATAGGACATGCACATAAACAATGATTGCAGCACACGTTAGTGTATATGTATCACTGTGAACGTCGGAGTAAGAGCAATAATTTCACAGTACCACAGTTTTCACCATTGTACAGACATGCACAATTTTAAGGCTTGACATGTTTGGTATCTATTTACTTGGCATGACCCCATCTTTTGTTTTCCAAAAACATGGGTACTATATTGTGTTTGTGTGCACTAAATTTAATTTTAATTTATTTCTTCCTAAATATATCAATTTGATAAATATTTGTGAAAATATTTTGCAACATAAAAAATACAGCTACCATTTTTTGATTCTACAGGGCCCCTGCTGTCAGAAAATCAAGATTGGCTAGGTTGACTGCAAAACAAAGCAGCAACTGAAAGACAAACGATCCAAAAAATGGCACATAGCAAATGGGGTTTTAACCCTTTCCCTACCACCGACGTAAGTCATAGGCGGAAAAAAAACTGTTCCCAGCTGGCCAGGTCAGTATGCCTTACGTCGGTGGCATTTACCGTTCTGCTATAGCTTTAGCGACCATGAACTTATATCAGAACTGTTCCCTTTAAATTAATAGCTGTCATCAGTGGCTCAAAAGCCGCTCATGACAGCTGTTAACAAAAATTCCGGGTGCCCCCATCCCGTCGGCATCTTCAGCCTCCCCTCCCTGCCTGGAGCCGCTCCGCGGCATGAGAGAGCGGCGGGCAGGGGGGAGAGTGGAGCCGCTGTCATTCTGTGAGTTTCAGGATGACAGCGGCTGTGTGCGTGGCCGAGCGGGGGATCGGTAAATAGCAGTGATATTTACTGATCCTCTGTGCAGCACAAACACTGGAGTGGTCGTCTGATCGCTCCAGTGTTTTACATCACTTCCTGATGTAAAGTGATTTACATCACTTCCTGTTCATTCATGAATTTCTGAATGGGCAGTAGCACTCACTACAGAGGCTTCTCCCCATTCAGCTCCTGCAGTCTAGTGTCCTTGGTTACTAGGATGCAGGCAGCTCCTGCAGTCTAGTGTCTTTGGTTGCTAGAATGCAAGCAGTTCCTGCCATCTAGCGTCCTTGGTTTCTAGGATGCAGGCAGCTTCTGCCATCTAGTGTCCTTGGTTGCTAGGATGCAGGCAGCTTCTGCAGTCTAGTGTCCTTGGTTGCTAGGACACAGGCAGCTTCTGCCATCTAGTGTCCATGGTTGCTAGGATGCAGGCAGCCCCTGCCAACTAATATCCTTGGTTGCTAGGACACAGGCAGCTCCTGCAGTCTAGTGTTCTTGGTTGCTAGGATGTAGATGGCTCCAGTAAAGTACATGTCCACTGTATGCTTAGGGATCCCAACTGGAAAAAAGCCATTTCAGGGAGGTGCCCTTCTCATTTCAGGGAGGTGCAATCTGCCCCCCCCCCTTTCCGTCCGTTGTGTGGGGGGGGGGGGTTGGGAGAGCAACCCCCTGAAATTATGGCAGATAGCACTGGAAGCAGTAGCTTCTTTGCTACCTGCTGTTTTTGTCAGTATTCTCATAGCTGCTGCCATCATAATAAAAAACAAACAAAACCAGCATAGGAATGAATATCTAGATCGCTATTGGCTATTTCGCTTTGCAATATCCAATAGCAAGCTGACTAATGCACCCGCCCTCTGCTGCTGTCAATCACTAGAAGAGGACCGGATGGAGAACTTCAGGTCCACCTCTGCTGATTGACAGCAGCAGTGGGCGGGTGCAATAGCTAGTCTGCTATTGGCTATTGCAAATTGAAATAGCCAATAGCAATGTAACTATGCATTCCTATGCTGGGTTTTTTTTTCTCTGACTGTCGGCGGCCTTCCGATGTCAGAGAAAAAACCCAAAAAACAGACAGCAGGGAAAGGTTTACTCTGCTAGATCGAGCAGAGTAAACCTTTCCGGGAGAAAATGTTTCTCTCCCGGGCGGCCAGGAGCCGCTATCTAATAGTGGGAGACTCCCAGAGCGTCCGGGAGAGTTGGGATGTCTGTATGCTGTACGCATGTAAATGTTAGCACAAAGATTTACATGTGTACATTGTAAAATGTGCTTCATGTGCAGGTTGTTGAATGTGGATTCTTTTTATTTATTGTTTACACAACTATGCACTGCAGGCCAATACGGATCGCTTTAAATGGGACCATAGAATACAATACGGCTGCATTCAGATCCCTCTAAATGACTAATCTGAACGCAGTGAGGGGAATTTTTCCAAACTGGAGCAGAAGTTCATGGCAACCTATCAGCTTCCATCTTTTGTTTTCAACAAACTAAAGAGAGAAGCTGATTAGTTACTACGGGAAACTGCTCCACATTTTGTCTGCTCTAGTTTTGATAACCCCCCCCAGAGTATTGTATGCTGTGTGCATGAGACGTTTGATACCTTTGAGTCCCCGTTCACACCTTTGCGCTCCGTGAATGCAAGGCACATTCGTATGCATTTTTTCCACGCTGATGGCCCATTGATTTCAAAGGGTGCCGCGCAAGCGTCAAAGCTGGGAAAGTAGCTCAGATTCTGCTACAGGTGTATGGCATTTTTTCACCATGCGTTTGTACACGTATACAATACACAGGATAAAATGTGCATTTTCCCAGCTGCGTTTGGGGTGCCATTAACAAGTAATGGCACAGCAAGTGTGTCGCACTTTTTAAGCGTTACATGAATGCACTTCAATGTACGCATTAGCATGCGCTCACAGAATGCGAAGGTGTGAATGGGGATTTATACTCGTGAATTGGGCTGTCTCATGTGAGACTCATGCAAATAACTGCAACGCAGTAGGGTTGCCACCTTTTCTTCAAGGGAAACCCGAACACTCTAGTGACGCGCGGACATTTTTTGGGGAGAATGAGTTGTGGCTTATTCATATGTAAATATCACAGTTGAGACTATTTTCAGTTGGGAGCTAGTGGCCCCTATCTTAATTTAGGTTGCCCCTCTCTGCCTGACATCTTGTGTTCGGGTTTCTGCTGCCATGAAACCCGAACACAGCATTTAAAACCCAGACTCCATTGGGTCAATCCTGGAGACAGGTGGGGACCCTAAATGACATTGCCCTCACCCGCTCGCATGGACTCGGACTGTTTGCATCCAGTGGCAATCATCCATAGGTAAACGCTGCATTTGATAGGCCCATGCACACGGGTCTGTACTGGTCCGCAGCATATAGTAAAATGGAAACATCTGCATGTAACGTTCTGCATGTGGAGCATGCTTTACATTGTATCCATGCTCTCTAGCAGATGTTTAACTCTCCTCCACACTACCTAAAAGTAAAAAGAAAAGTTTGGGTTATAGATATAACGTAATACTGGGAGAACTGCCACGTTCCCAAACTGTATACACGCTGCTAGTGAGGGAGGTTTGAGTCTTCCGGTCATGAAGCAGTTAATCCAGGCAGGCCAGCAGAAGCTCCTCCCTCCGGGGGCGGGGTCTCGCCGCCTTAATCGCCCCTTTAGCTGACTCGTGAGTTCCTACAGAAGTGATTTGCTCGGTGCACGCTTCTTCTCTGTGTGATCATCATGCGCTGGGGACCGCTCTGCCGGCTATACAGCAGTCTGCCCAGGTACAGGGTCACCCACATCAATGGATGGAGAGCTGCCAGCAGAGCCACAGATGGGCGGGCAGGAGCATCAGAGCCGCATGCTTCAGTCACCAGGTACTGTGTATAAGAGGGTGGAAGTTAGCGTGGGCTGCCAGGATGTGGACTGGTGACATGGCTATAGGAGGGGGGG